AAACATCTGCCTGAAAAGTAAAAAACAAAATAAAACATAACATCTTGAGGAGGACAACAGGCTGGTTGTCGGTGAGCCAATTGGGCTTAAAAGCTACTGCAGCGATCTCTACATGTCTACACACTATACCTGCAAGCAGGTTTATTATACATGTTTTTGTCACCCACAAAGATACTGATCACATTCTCTGATGACCAAGAAAGTAAAAAATATGTTTGTCTTATCAGACATTACACTACTTTTTGGAAATGTTACTATAATCATATAATACTAGAATTTCACTTTAAACAACCACAGTGTACTGTGTATTCATTTAAAAAATGTATTTCACAGAACTCCGCAGTGCAGTGCTTGTTGAAACCCTCTGAACAAAAAAAAAGTGAAATCACAGCACACAAAAACAAGCATGAGAGTACAGTATAGGTCCTACCTTCAAAGGAGACACCCTGAACTCCCTGGGGTGCAATCCTGACAAAGGCAAAACACTCTATGGTCTACTTAGGCTGAATCCAGGTGGACCCCGCTCCTTAGGGACCTGCTAAAGCCAGTCCTCCAAGTACTTCATAGGAAGCTTTCCCAAAGAGGGACCCCCGTGGTTGGGGAGAGAAAAAAGACCACAGATCCTCCCTCTGACATCAGAGCAGTCTCTGTGCATAAAAATAAAAAAAAACAAAAACAAATAAAAACACATGTGCAGTGTTGGTGTCCATGATAAAAAGTGTACAAAATAAATATAAAGTGTCATGCATAAGGTGGCCCATTTGCCCAATATAACAATCACTCTGAGCTGGCCAAAGGGCCTGCCCTAAAGGCGTATTTAAGTAAATCAAAAAATGACATGACCGATTGCCAGTGAAAACTGAGTTGGGTATGACTGCCCAAAATGTTTTTCTGGCACCCCTGGACCGCCACTCCCAGGGGGCACATCACCAAGAGCTCCTTGCACCTCCCAGCCCCTGGCCAGAAAAATGCAATCCCATTACTACCAGAAAGGCATTAGCATTTAGGGAGAGTCCTGCCTTCATCCAGAGACAAGCCTGGTAAACCAGGTCAGAATCAACCCAGAAGATAAAGGATCCATCCCACCCCATTGCGTCAAGAAATGCCGGCATTCTGTTCTTGAAGAGATACTACACTTGATCTTCACCAAAAGGCCCAAGAATCCATGTTTATACCTGAAAACAGTTTTCATAGATATTTTGTTTTCATTTTATTGTCACACAGTTATTGATCACATTCTCTGATAGCAAGTAAAAATAAGTTTGTCTTCTAAAACAATACTTTTAGAAAATTTTATTATAACCATAATTTAACCAGGATTTTCCTTTTAAGGCCTAACTCTGAGCAAGAAAAAGTTTTCCCATGCAGTGCCTGCACTGCAAGGTTTAATTGCTCATTTTTGTCTGGGGATAGGAGAAAGCTTTATATCTGCTTGACTCTCTGCTCCACCTGCAAATGGTGCTCCACCATGACCCAGCTGTGGGCTTGATGACATCAAGAAAAGTCCATTGCTCAGGACCACTAGACGGTGGAGGGTTCAGAGCTGAAGTGACTAGTCTTGTGCGGGGAGCAGACCCGGACTGGCCATAGGGCACACTGGGCATTTGCCCAGCGGGCCAGGGCCGCCAGGATTTAGAAGAGCTGCCTGTTGATGACTGGCCACACAGCAGGAGCTAAGTGGCAACCGCAACCTGAACAGAGCTAACACAGACCGCGGCCACCGTTCACCTACCGCTGTGCGGTTATGCCTAAAGCAGGGCCGACAGGAGGAGCAGCAGTGACGACTTCAGTGAAGAGCAGGAAGCATCCGTCGAGGACACACAGACACCTCCTCGGCTGGCTGCTGCACACAGCCGCACTGGAGGGACAACGGCAGCCTCTCTCCTTCACTGGCCAGCACACTGTGAAAGGTCTGTAGTGGGTGGTGGATTGGGCTGTCTCTTTGCTCAGTTGGTTCTAGCAAAGAGACATCCCAATCCAGCAAAGAGACAGCCCAGTATAAGAAGGGACATCCCCATCCAGCAAAGATACATTCCTGTCCAGCAAAAAGACATCCCATCACTTTGTGGATTGGGATGTCTCTTTGCTATATGGGGATGTCTCTTTGCTGAATGTGGGATGTCTCTTTGCTGGATGGGGATGTATCTTTGCTGGATATGGCCATCTCTTTAAATACAGTGAGAAACAGAAGTATTTGAACACCCTGCGATTTTGCAAGTTCTCCCACTTAGAAATCATGGAGGGGTCTGAAATTTACATTGTAGGTGCATCCCCACCCTGAGAGACAGAATTAAAAAAAAATTCAGGAAATTACATTGTAAGATTTTTAAAGAATTTATTTGTCTTGCACTGCTGAACATAAGTATTTGAACACCTAAGAACCAGCAAGAATTCAGGCTCTCAAAGATCTGTTACTGTGCCTTTAAAAAGTCCACCTCTACTCCACTCATTAATCTAACTTAGTAGCACCTGTCTGAGCTCTTTAAAGACACCTGTCCACCCCACAGTCAGTCAGACGCCAACTACTACCATGGGCAAGACCAAAGAGTTGTCAAAAGACACCAGAGACAAAATTGTGGACCTCCACAAGGCTGGAAAGGGCTACGGGACAATTGCCAAGCAGCTTGGTGAAAATAGATCAACTGTTGGAGCAATTGTTAGAAAATGGAAGAGGCTAAAGATGACTGTCAGTCTCCCTCGGACTGGGGCTCCATGCAAGATCTCACCTCGTGGGGTATCACTGATGATAAGAAAGGTGAGGAATCAGCCCAGAACTACAAGGGAAGAGCTGGTCAATGACATGAAGAGAGCTGGGACCACAGTTTCAAAGGTCACTGTCGGTAGAACACTACGCCGTCATGGTTTCAAATCATGCATTGCACGGAAGGTTCCCCTGCTCAAGTCATCACATGTCCAGGACCATCTGAAGTCTGCCAAAGACCATCTGGATGATCCAGAGGAGGCATGGGAGAAAGTCATGTGGTCAGATGAGACCAAAGTAGAACTTTTTGGTCTAAACTTCACTCGTCGTGTTTGGAGGAAAAAGAAGGATGAGTTGCATCCCAAGAACACCATTCCTACTGTGAAGCATGGGGGTGCTAACATCATGCTTTGGGGGTGCTTTTTTGTGAAGGGGACAGGACGACTGCACTGTATTAAGGAGAGGATGAATGGGGCCATTTATTGTGAGATTTTGAGCAACAACCTCCTTCCCTCAGTCAGAGCATTGAAGATGGGTCATGGCTGGGTCTTCCAACATGACAATGAACCGAAGCACACAGCCAGGATAACCAGAGAGTGGCTCCGTAAGAAGCATATCAAGGTTCTGGAGTGGCCTAGCCAGTCTCCAGACCTAAATGCAATAGAACATCTTTGGAGGGAGCTGAAACTCCGTGTTGCTCAGCGACAGCCCCGAAACCTGACAGATCTAGAGGAGATCTGTGTGGAGGAGTGGGCCAAAATCCCTGTTGCAGTGTGTGCAAACCTGGTCAAGAACGACAGGAAACATTTGACCTCTGTAACTGCAAACAAAGGCTTCTGTACCAAATATTAACACTGATTTTCTCAGGTGTTCAAATACTTCTGTTCAGCAGTGCAAGACAAATAAATTCTTTAAAAATCATACAATGTGATTTCCTGAATTTTTTTTTAAATTCTGTCTCTCAGAGTGGGAATGCACCTACAATGTGAATTTCAGCCCCCTCCATGATTTCTAAGTGGGAGAACTTGCAAAATCACAGGGTGTTCAAATACTTCTGTTCCTCACTGTATATAAGGGGCACTGTGATATAAAGGGGACTGCACTGTAAAGGGGCACTGTAATCAATACAGTGACCCTTTACAGTGCCGTCTCTTTTATATTACAGTGCGCAGGACCAACTTCGTAAATATTCCGTCACCAACTGCCCCCGTGAATACCCTTGTAACCCCCAGAAATTGGCTGTTCAGTCTAAAATGCCCGGGCCTATTTTTTGTCCCAGTCCAGGCCTGGCGGGGAGTATCAGGCAAGTACTGTATATCTCTCTTCATCTCTCCCCTAGACAAAAATAAGCAATCAACCCTTATAATGTAGGCACATCCCTACAGCAGTGATGAACTTTTTTATTCACCCAGAGTTCAGCTCTGAACAATCAAGGAGCACTATGTGTTCATTTAAAGTGCATGTAAAGACAACATTCATTTTTTTAGTTTTAAATGGAGTGGGGAAGGGTGGGACCCTCTGTTGGTTTGTAATTGCTGACTGTGTCCTCATTGGGGAGAACGACTCTCGTTATGTTTCGTGGTGATCACTGTCACTGACACAGAACTTGATGGGAAAAACTAAATTTTACAGCTGCCACCAGAGCAAAAACTGAAAGAAAATCTTCCAGTGGACCACATGTCACTATGACAACTCTGTAAAATGGGATTTCTGTTCACTTTGGAGAGATTTGTGTCTCCAAGACAAAAAGTAAAGGGAATTTTCCTTAGTGAGAAACAAGCAGCAAAAACTAACCTGATAAGACTTTGATTCCTCTCCTACTATATCCAAAAACAAAAAAATTTAATTGCCAGCTAATAAAATCTGGTATAAAGGTATCTGGCTTTGTGAAAGGAGAAATTCAGTAGGCAGTAAAACAAGGATTATATCTGCTGATTATCAGAGCTGGCAGAGATTCTTGCAAATGGGATGAAGAGGATTAGAAGTATTTAGATGACGTCTTGCACATGTAGGTTTAATCGTCTGAAACTTTCATGCTCCTTCTCCTTCGGTGGGACTGGGCCACCAGCAATAGGTGTAGCTGCCTTCAGTCAATTACCCTTTAATGACTGAGCTATTAATAACTCAGGAAAGAGTTGTTGTCCTGTCTCCTCCGTCTTTAGGTTAGGGTGGCAAACATGGAAGAGCCACAAGTAATGAAGCTACTCGTGGAATGAGGGGAGGCCCCATACAACATTCCTTCATTCTGTCAACCGACTGTTGAAGTTCCCAAGAAATCAACTCTCTGCCCACTGCAAACATGGCACTGATGAAGATTAAATTTAACCAGAGGAAAAGAGTCAAGTTGGCTCAGGGGTTATGGCTGTTGAATTGGTGCTGTGTATTATCTGGCATCGCCCTCTTCACCATGGGAATATTTCTAAAAATCGAGCTCAGGAAGAGGAGCGAGGTGATGGATAATGCCGAAAGCCATTTTGTGCCCAACTCTCTAATATTTATGGGTGTGCTGGCCTGTTCCCTCAACGCTTTTGCTGGGAAAATCTGCTACGATTCCCTGGACCCTGCAAAATTTGCAAGGTGGAAGCCTATGCTGAAACCTTATCTGATTATCTGTCTGCTGTTCAATATCTTCACCTTCTTCATCGCTGTGATGTGTTTGGTGACCAGGGGGTCCTTGGAGAGTACTCTGTCACATGGATTAAAGAATGGAATGAGGTACTACAAGGACACAGACACCCCAGGCAGATGTTTCATGAAGAAGACCATCGACTTGCTCCAAATTGAATTCAAATGCTGTGGGAACAATGGATTCCGGGATTGGTTCGAGATCCAGTGGGTCAGTAACCGATACCTGGACTTCAGCTCAAAGGAGGTGAAAGAGTAAGTAGATTTTAATTTTATTGAATTCTATATAAACAAAAGTAGCACTCCAACCTTTAAAGGTTTGCTGAGTATCAGAACTTGCTATCCAGACTCTCCAGAACAACCAGAAGCAATTAATAATCTAATTATTATTTAAACAGCTCCTTTTAAATCTCTTCTCTCTAATTCAGATGTTGGTGAGTTCTACCCACTAGAAGTTCTCAAAATCAAACACAAAAGGAACAAACTTGGTACTTGTTCACCATTTTTTTTTTTTTAAATTTAATTTTAATGGTAAACATGCCTGAATAATGACCTATATCTGTCAGCAAGATCACATTGTAGTAAAAATTAAAAAAATCAGATTCACTTTTATGAACTCATTCTCCCATTGATAAGTAATCAGCAGTAAAAAGGAGGCAGCTTTGGCACCTTTAATTGAGTGCAGTGACTTTATAACAAAAGCCTAAATAGGAAATATCAGCAATGCTGTGAGCTTGGACCCTTAGACCAGCCATTCTCATCCAGGGTTCTTTGGAACACTAAGGTTCCTCCAGAGGTTGCTAAGGGTTCCTTGAGCTGTGGTTTATTGACCTCTTATCTGATGGTGCCTAAATAGTCCCAGGGCCAAAGCCAATTTTTGGTTCTGTGTAGGGGTGGTACTATTCCTACCAATGTAGGTGGAATTTTTCCTATTGACCTAAATGAACTAGTTTTAGTAAGGGTTCTATGAAATCTAAAAATTATTTTATGGGTTCTCTGTGGTAATAAAAGGTTGAGAAAGTCTGCTGTAGATCAGTGGTCTCCAAACTGTGGGCCAAATGTGGCCCTTTGTTTACCTTTATCTGTTGCTTGGGGAACATTCCTCCCGCAGATGCCTGGGCATTTTTTACTCCCACTGGCCACAGTCCAGCCCCTCTAAAGTCTGAAGGACAGTAAACCGGCCTATTGTTTAGATAGTTTGAAGAACTCTGCTGGGGATGATTACCCACCAATGGCTGCATCCAGGGTGAAGCCATGTCTATAGTGAACATAGCATTACATTGTACTGTTCATATAGACATGGGCAGTCAGTGAAAACGTCTCATGGTATCTAATGAACGAACTACTGTATCTCCAAGTGTTCTTTTATTGGAGACCAATACCCTCTAACTGTATCGTTTAGTAAATTGTTTCATGCTAGCTCAAGCCTGACTCTTTACCAAGCTGATAACAATATGAATGTTCTTACAGGATTTCATAAAACAAACTTTTTAACCTTTGCTTTGAACATTTTGCGCATGTTGAGGTATTTGATTGCAATGTAGCGTGCAGTGATGATACACAATCAAATAAGGCACAGCAACTATATTTTCTGCATTGGGATGGATAACATATTTATTTCAATTGCTTGTAATGAGGTACTGTACTTTGCATATTGCTTGTATTCTGCATTGCTTATTGAATGTGGACACATTGCACTGTGTATGTGCAGAATAAACTGGAGAGAAATGCTTCTTAGGGCTGTTTAATCTACCAGTCCCCATATTAGTCTAGTAGCACTATAACACATAAACACATAACCGTCAGATATCTTCATATCATTGCTGTAGTTTGGAGGCCTTTTTATAAGTGTGTGCCAGTTAAGGCCTCGTTCACACCATGCAGAAAGACTGATGGAAATTGACATGCAGATTACACTTGCAGAGACATCAGTTTACATCAATTTTAATACACGCTTCAATGAGTTTTATACACATTGCAGATTCCTGCACAGACAAATCTGCATGTAATACTAGTGTTATGGTGTAAACAGGACACATAGAGAACAATTGATTTCATTGTGCCCCTGCAGAACGCCTGCAGAAAAACTGTGTCTCTGCACCTTGATGTGAACGAGCCATGAGTATGGTGTATTCCATACACAACTTGCATAGACAGGTACACTTTGAAGCTTCCTCATTGGTCCTAATCAATATTTTAAGGGCCCATTTGTACAGTGCGTTAATGAGCATTAAAATGCACTGAACTAAGAAAGATCCTTAAAAACTAACAGTGGGATGCCAATGCACCAAAATGTCCCAAATATCGGACATACCCAGGGGCAGACTGACCATTTGGAAACTCGGGCACTGCCCGAGGGCCCAGGGTCAGTAGGGGGCCCCATGAGATGCCCCTGGTACCTTTTTCATAGGCTTTTTTGAGTTTGGGCAAGGGCACAGGGGCCCCATGATCCCCTATTGCCCGGGGGCCCCATGAGTTGTCAGTCCGCCCCTGGACATACCACAACATTTTGAGCTCAGCGCACCCCAATATGCTGCGATCTACATGTACATTGCCTTAGTTGTGTTGGGTTGCTAAATAGCACTACAATGTGTTGATGTATGTAACATGCACTGCAATGCTTTTATTAATGCGTGTTTTCTTGGTACACTTAGATGTAAGTCAGATATAAGAGACCACTAAGTATTCCTCAAATTAGAGTATCATGTTTTTTCAGAAACTTTGTAGATAGGCACTATTATCTGTCTTTGGTTTTCCTATCTATGATTTCTTGGGTTCCAAGTTCCACAGGGTCTCTTAAGCCCTGTACACACGATGAGAATATTGGACGAATGATCGTCCATTTTGTTTTTTTTTGCATGCTAGTCTCATATCAAAAGTGAAGAGGTTACTAAAGTTATGAAAATTCTTGTATCACAGAATGAAAATTCGGAAGTGATGTATTTGTATATTTTCAGACGAAAACTGTACCAGTTAAATGAAAATCATATGATCAGGTATTGTACTAGAAAAATGTTTGTGCTTGTCCCTTCAAATAATATGGGATGAAAACTTTGTACTAACGATTATTTTACGATCGCTTCAAAAAGCGGTATTTTTTGTACAATTTTCTGATCGTGTGTACTAGGCTTTATACATCTACATACTGATAGGGGAATGCAAGACAATATTTAGGAAAGTCGGCTTAAGAAGTGCAGTGTAAGCAGTGGACATGCTGCTGTGAGATATATATAGTCCAGAGCTGGGCGATTAGCTCATTATTATCCGTGGTTAAGGGGTGGGATATGCGGGTTAATCTGGCAGTAAATACACACCGTGTATTGTGCTGCAGAGGAGTTGCTACATGCTGAGAGAATAGATGGAAAGTATATTAACTCCTAAGGATGGCCACTGGCCATAAACAGCTCAATCTCACCCAAATCTGATCACATAAGACACATGGATAAGGATTGGGCCCTGGAGCACTGCACGTGGGATGGCAAAAATGTGCAGCTCCAAATTTCAGAACAACTTGTTATTGTTCACTAAGATTTTCTAGTAGGTTGGAAAAGCTCTGTGTGACCTTTCCTGGCCAATCCTTTCTTCTCCTAATTAGAACACAAAGGTGTTAATTGCACATTCCACGCTCCCATCCAAAGAGTGAGTCATGTGAGCCAGGCTGGCATTATAGGGGACAGGCAAATGCCTCCTTGTCTGTCATTCTATGGCTAGCTTTAGATTGGTGTATATGGATATTCAAGTCCAGTCCAGTTAAACCATTGCATCTGGTGAGGCTCATAACGTGACCGTACGTCCCAGGAGAAACTATCCTAAATAAATCCTGAAGGATGTATGTGAGAGGTTTACTCCAACTGTTTTGTTCACATGACTTAGATATCATATAAGCACCCATGTGGACAAAGCTTTAGGGCAGATTCACACTTTTCCATTGTGATATTATGTGGGTTTTATGTGCTTTGTGCTACATTGCCATTCATTCTAAATGGCACACCAATTCACATATACAGTAGAAAACGATACAGCTGTGCTAGAGCGCATCTTAACTCACAGATGTGAATACCCTATGTGCGTTGTATTGAGGTGTGTTGAGAGCCCATTAGTACATAGCTACACCTAGGTACATAGCTGGTAAGATTGAATAAAGGTGTGTAGGTGTGTGTGTGTGTGTGTGTGTATTTATATGAGTACCATTTTCTATAGCACTGTACATTGTGTTCACTAAAAACACATCTAAATTTTTTTTAAATTTATCTACACTCCCTGCTGACGCCACCAACTGTGGAAGGGAGCTCCACATCCTTATCAATCCAACAGTAAACAACACCTTGCGCAATTTAAGATTGAGCCGCCTCTTGTCCAACTTCACGGTTTGTCCACCTGTCTTCTTTAGAGACCTTAAGTTAAATGCTAGGGCCACCATTCAAAGATTTGCATATTGCAATCAAATCCCCTCTAAAGCACCTCTTCTCCAGGGAGAATAAGTTTTGTTCATAACTGAGGTCCTCCAGCCCCCTTATTAGCTTTATTGCCCCTCTCTGGACTTTCTCCAGTTCCAGCACATCCTTCCTCGGGATTGATAACAAAAACTGAACGGCATACTCAAGATGAGGCCAAAGCAGAGTTTTGTAACCCTCTCTTAATCAGGGGCCTTTAGGCATCCCCTCTTCTAGTTCAGGGCCTTCAGGCACCCCCTCTTCCACTTAAGGGCTTCCAGGCACTCCCTCTCCTAGTCCAGAGCCTGCAGTCACCCCCTCTTCTAGTCGGGGGCCTGCAAGAACCTAGTTTGGAACCTCCAGGCATGCCCTCCCCTAGTCCAGGACCTTTAGGCTCCTCCTCACCTAAACTAGTCCTTCGGGAACCCCCTCTCTTAGTCTGGGGCCTGCAGACACCCTCTTACCCATCTTACCTTTTTCCTAGTCCAGAGCATCTATGCTCCCCCTCTCTTAACGCAGAGCCTTCGGACACCCAATATCCTAGTCTGGGGCAGGCACCTCCTTTCTTAGTCAGGAACTCAGCTCTACACCCCCCTCTCCTAATCTACAGCCTCCTCCACACATTCCCCTTTCCTTGTCCACAGCTTCTTCTGCTTACCCCCCTCCTAGTCCAGAGCCTTTACAGCACATGCTGCTCTCCTAGTCCATTAACTCCTCTGCACACCCCCTTCCCCATTCCAGGGCCTCTCCAAACAACCCCCCACTCCAGGGACCTTCACCACACAAACCTCATCTTCTAATATAGGGCTTACAGTTTCAGGC